ACTCCTCTACTAAAGTAGCAAGGCTCCTTTGCCCACATAGTTCAAATTACATAGGTTAATGACTTCTTCCACATATCTAAAGAGCAGCGGCACAATCCATAAAAACACAGTATTAGTTTGATTCTGTAACACCTTTTCACACAGCAAGCCTAAACTCCTACAAGTGTTAACAGTCCTGTTAATACCAACAAAAATGTTCACACTTTTTGTCACAGAATTTGGTAAAAACAATCTTTTCTAGAAGATAGAAAAATAAAGCATTGTTCTCCTGTTTTTGTAGTGTCTAATGCCCTTCACTCTCACTGATGCTCCAAAACTTAAAATCAGGTCTCTAGTTTCTCATCTGTTTGATAATATCTGAAACGCTTCAATTTTCCTTTGACCTTGATTATTTTTAAGCCTGGATAGGACACACAGTCTGCACTGCTACCATTGGTTGGCTATCTCCTGCAGCAGGCAAAGATCCACGTGGCCATAGTAATTGTGTTGGATGCCAGACTGCCTTTTATTGTTGACCATGGAGGCATTAGCAACCTAGTTGTGGTTATGATCAGACTGCAAAGGCCTGTTTAAAAGGCGCTGTCTTCCTTCTGAGCTAAAGGGATGCAGTACTGAGCGATAGGTCATTTTACCCCAGAAGCCTTTCATGCAGAGAGCTGCTGGAGTCTATCCTGTTGCCCTTGCTGCTCACAAGGTTGCTGGGGGAGAGAATAAGGTGATATGAGCTGAGATGTCTCCATATGTAGATATGTAATTCTATGGGACAGGTCCTCAGTCAATGTCAAAAGGAGGATTTCTATTGACTTCAGCATAGTTATACCAGTTTATAATCACCAATAATCTGTCCTGTCTCTATTGCATTGGATCAAAAGAGTTAAGCAGCATGTCCAGTACCTAGCCAAGATTAACACTTTAATATCTAGACTTAAAGCCTAAACTTATGTAAAGCATATGAGAAGATGGCCATCTAAAACTAATGAAGTCTAGCTGCTACAAAATAGATACACATCCACTTGATAAGGATACAACATGCCTGTATACAACATGTTACTCCTGTACTCCACTATCTGCAGTGGTTTAATTTCTAGGAGTACAAATTAGCTTTAATCTCAAAAGCCTCAAATTACCTCACAAATATGTTCTTTACCAAAGGTATAAATGAGAGTAGAGATTATCTAAGGTCCTTCAGGTAAGAGACCCTGGATCTTATTTAACTAACCACTCTGCTGTCCGAGGGCATCTTCAGTGAAGTATCCTCTGCTCCTGGAAAGGAAAGTTTTCTTCATTCATAATTCTGAATTTGTTAGCTCACAAGGTCATCGTGCAATGCCTCCTGTGTTTGCTCCTGTGGGAGGGCTAAATTGTTTCTCATTTGTTAATGCCCCAGAAACATGCAATAGAAACACAACTTAAAACAATGAAAACCATAACATAGAAGTAAATAAACAGGGCAAGATCTTGGCGTTTGGCACAGGCCTGTAGGAATCAGGTCATAAGTGACCAGCATGATTTGTGCAACCTGGTAATCATCTCCAAGCTGATGTTAGAGTAGCCAGGAACCAGCTTAATCATCTTGCAGCCCATGCACACTTTCCTTTGGCTGTGCCCCCAGGCAGACTAAGGCAGAGGTGTCAAGCTCACCTCATGCCCCAGGCTAGCTGGACTGCAGACTCCTTGCAGGCTGGATCCAGCCCAGGGCATGTGGTAGCAGCTCTGGCCTGTGGCATGTGGTGGTGGCAATGGCTCCAGCTTAGGGCGTGCAGCAGCAGCAGCGGCTCCAGTCCAGGACACGTGGCAACAGCAGAGGAGGTCATGCAAGCAGATAGGCCTCAGCCCTCGCTTGTCCTCCTGCCACCAATTGTCATGTCCACTGGGACCCAAGGGCCCTGGATTCTGCAGTAGGCCACTTCCTACCTAGCTATGCCCCCTGGTATTCAGTTGTCCATTGGGCACCTGGCAAGCTAGATAGAGTGGCTTTGTATACCATAATGCCAGTGGCGACAAATATGTGAACAATTATGTCAGCCTTGTCCCATCTTCCCTGAGAATCCTCACGTAGGCTGCTTTGTGATACTGGGACACCAGAAAGCATCTGTAGGAAAGTGACACTTCGTCCATTCTTTGATATATCAGCCTAATTTTGCAATCTTTGTTCTTGTGCATAACTGTCATGCTCATGAGCAGTCCCACTCAATGCTGTCTTAAAGTACCAGCCCTTCGTGGGGTCCACATAGCCCCAAGACCTATTAACCAGTGCCAAAACAAGGGATGCATGATATATGCCCCCACACAGGAAGCAAATCTTAAGGAGCACAAAATGGAGAGAGCACTAAGGCACAAGCACACAAAAACACCACAATTCAAATATGCAATTATAAGAAGCCCTCAATGAACCTATATACACAGTCACCTTAACTCATATGTGACGTGTTGGCCCAGGCCCCCCCAGATTTCTCTGCTGACAGCGGGACGTGGAGCATAGGGCTGCAGCCTGGCTGGAGCCAGGGCCCAACAGTACTGGAGGTGATGGCACAATTTCTGCACCAACAGCAGGGGGTAGGGACAGTCCAGCCAGACTCAATGCCTGGCAGCAGTGGGGGTGGCAGCAGTGCTGTGTTGTGGCGTCCCACTACCAGCACTTATATGTCACCTATGCCATAAGTGGCATGTGATTGAATGCCCAAGTCCCCAGTCACTACTCTGCCCAGGGCCTCCAAAATCCTTAAAACAACTCAAGTCCCACTGAGTTCAATGGACTGTTCCTGGTAAGGATTTGGAGCATAGTGCTAGCAAATGGTTCATGGCCCACTTATGTCCTATTTAAAGCCTCACAATAGGGATTAACTGAGAGGTAAGTGCTGCAGGGCTTCTGCTGGCCCCTCTATATAGGGCTGAATTTCATACAGGAAATAGAGAGATGTACTTTATTTTCTACTAATGCCATTTGTGCATTAACATCTGATCCTAGAAACCCAGATGCTCTCTGTACCACAAAACACATATGTACATTTAGGATTAGTAAAAACAGAATTCAAGTTAAGCTAGGAAAAAATTTAGGCTCAGGATTGGAAGTCACCTCAGTGGTCATCTAGTCCAACCCCCCTTAAATCATCCCAGACAGAAACCCCTCCAGCTTCTTCCTGAAAACCTCCAACGAAAAGGATTCCCACAGCATCACTGCACAGTTGTCCTACAGCTCTTACTGTTTAGGAAATGTTTTGAGGAGATTTAATCTAGATCTAATTTTCTGCAATTAAAGCTCCTTGCCTCATTTCCTGCCTTCTCTGACCAGAAAAAAAAAAGAGAGAATTGCTTTCCCTCTTCTTTATGGCAGCCTTTTAAATATTTTTAAATTGCTCTTGTCCCTCCCCACCACCTTTATTCTCTTTTTCTACAAACGAAACATTCCTAGTTGTCTCAGTCCAGTCCTTTCATCTCTGGCTTGTATTTTGTTATCTTTGTTGTTTGACTATTGGATCATCTCATTTTTCAATATCCTTCTTAACATACAAAGCCCAGATCTGGGCATACTCCTTTAATTGTGGTCTAATCAGTGATGAGAGATGAGGAAAATGGTACTCCTCTTTTGCATGCAGTACTTCTGTTAATGTAGCCCAAAACTACATTAGTTTTTCCTTTTTTTTATTGTAATAGCATCACCTTGCTGACTCACTGAATTTATGATCCACCGTAGCCCTTTGATTCTTCACAGCTGTGCTACTGCCAACCAGCTGTCCCCCATTCTGCATTTGCTTTTACTTCCACAAGTGTAGCACCATACGTGACTGTTGAATTTCACTTTTGTTGCATATTTCCAACATCTCTAATTCATCAAGATCCTCTTGATTTCTAATCCTGTCCTTCAAGTGCTTGCAAGCCATCAGTAAGCTCCTGCACTCGTGTCATTAATAAAAATTCTTCAGCAGTACCAGACAGAACAGACATCTCTGGAAACTCATCCGAAACTTCCTGCCATTCTGCCATCATTCTCTTTAAAAAGATACTTTTTGTTTGCTGTTATAAGTCAATTATGTGTCCCACCTGATGGTAGTTCTATCTAGCCCACATTTCTACAGTTTTCTTATGAAAATGGCATATGGGATTATATCAAAAGCCTTACCAAACCCCACTATATTATGCACACCACATTCCCTTCATCCACTAAATTAGCTACCCTGTCAAAGAGGGTAAGTCAGGTTGGCATGATATGATTCTTTCCTCTAACAAATCCCTACTGGCTGCAAGTTCAAGCTCGTCATCTTTCATCCATTTACAGTAATTTCCTTTAGTAACTTCCCAGCTATTCTACTCACGTTGACTGGTCTATAATTCCCAGGATCCTCTTTTCCCCTCTTTTTTAAAGATGGTATAAGTGGTTTGCCTCACCTGCAGGCATCTCTAAGCAGGCTTTGCTCCCTGAAGGACTCCTCAGTCAGGTCGCACAAATAAAACAGAGTCCTTTAACAAATAAAACAAGCAAACAAAACCCTAGACGCTGGGAGGGGACCCCTGTGGCTCTGGCCCTATCACAGCAGTCTGGTCCCTTTGTGCCACAAGCAGTTCAGCCCACTGCTTGCCTCTGGCTCATACCTGATCCTTCACCGTTTGCCGTCTTACTGCTCTTATTGGCGGGGGCGGTACTTTTACATGGGCTACAGGGGTCGGCAGGCAGTACTTTATTTAGAATGGCTCCAAGAGCACTCGGATTAAAGTGCCGCCTTGTCTTGTGTATCAGCATCCCCCCCCCCCCCCCCCCCCGGGCTGAAAAATAGCAGCAGGAACACCTGAACTAAAGCTCGCTCAACGAGCTTTAGTTCAAGCACCCCTGCCACCATTTTTAAGCAAGGAGATGCTGATACAAGAGACGCAGGAGGCTGTTGGAGTGCAGCAGCAATTGCTGCGCTCCCGCAGACTCGAGTCTACTCCGACACGCTGGAATTCCAGCACGTCAGAGCAGTCATGGCACTCATGTATAGGCGCCCAAGGTTTTTAAGTTCCCAATGAGCCACTTCCTTATCAGCAGCCTCTTCACAGCTCTTAAGGAGAAAGGCCACTCAGGTACAGATAGATGGACATTATCTAAGCTCTTCTCCACTCCTCTTGAGGCCTTGCCAGGAAGAAAAACTTCCTCAAGCTCTGTTGGGCAACTGTATTCATTTGAAATGATCTAGCATTTCCTCAGATGTGTTACCAGCCTTAATATCTGTGTGTAAACACTGGGTCTGACTCTGATCGGTCTTACAACTACCTAAACCTGGAGTCATTACAGTTAAATTAATTGAGTTACACCAGCCTGAAATGAGAGAGATCAACATTAGATTTGGTTATGAGTGACTAACAGCGGTCTTTAATCAAACAGGACAATATTTATCATTACTAAGCTCACAGGATCATAGAAAAGTAAGGGTGGAAGAGACCTCACAAGGTCATCTAGTCCAGAACCTTGCTCAATGTAGGATCATCCTTGACTAAACTTTCCCAGACAAATGTCCATCCAATCTGCTCTTGAAAATTTCCAAGGATGGAGATTCCACAACTTTTCTAGGAAGCCTGTCCCAGTGCTTGATCACCCTCAGTCAGAAAGATCCTCCTAATCTCCAACCTACGTTTCCTCTGCTGCCACTTGAGGCTGTTGCTCCTAGTTCTATGGCCACAGAGAAAGCTCATCTCCACCTTCCCTATAATCACCTTTCAGGCATTTGAAGAATGTGATGAAACCCCCCTCAGCCTTCTCCTCTCCAGGCTAAAGAACCCTCATTCTTCCGGCCTTTCTTCATGAGTCTTGCTTCCCAGGCCCCTAATCAATTTTGTCACTCTGTGCTGCAGTCTCTCCAATCTGTCCACATCCTTCTTGATGTATGGAGTACTGGACACAGTACTCCAGGTAAGGTCTCACCAGTGCCAAATCACTTCCCTTAAATTGCAAGTGACACTTCTCTTATTACAACTTAGTATCCTGTTGGTCTTCTTTGCCACAAGAGGATACTGTTGGCTCATATTCAGCTTACAGTCCACTCTAACCTCCAAGCCCTTCTCTGCAGTACGGTAGCCTTGCCAGTCATTCCCCAAACTGCATTTGTGCATGCAATTATTTTGTCCCAAGTGCAGGACTTTGCAGCTGTCCTTGTTGAATTTCATCCAGTTGATTACAGACCATTTTTCCAATCTATCCAAGTCATTCTGGATCCTAGCCCTGCCCTTTAGAGTGTCTGCAACTCAACCCAATTTGGTGTCATCCACGAATTTGTCAGGCATACATACACTCAAACTCGTTGTCCAAATCATTAAAGAAGATATTGAACAATACTGAACCCAGGATGACCCCACAAGGAATTCTCCTTGATATTTCCTCTCAACTAGACATTAAGCCATTGATGACTCTTCACTGGGTGCATCTATACATTCATTAATGTGCTTTTGGTAATATCATTAAATTTAGTACCTCCTTTGTGAGGCAGTAAACAAGGTGCATTAGCTTATTTTAAATGTGCATTAGTGAAAGTGCACAGGTTTTTGGTGACACTTTAATGAGCATTAAAATAGGCAAATATGCATTAAAGTGCATTGTAGACGTGCCCATTGAGTATGATGGTGCAACCAGTTATGCACCCATGCTAAAGTACTTTCTTCTAGTCTGTATTTCCTTATCTTGTTAGTGAAAATGTTGTGGGAGATAACGTCAAAAGTCTTGTTAAACTCAAAGTATGGCAACTCCACTGCTCTCCCCTCATCTAGAGAGCCTGTCACCTTATTATAGAAGGGGAAAATATTATTGTAATGTACTTATAGACTCGTAGTATAAATATCTTCAGCTACATCATACTGTAGTGCTTAAGAAATGCCTATATGCCAAGTGTACCGTCCCTTGCATAATTGCATCAGTTGAGTAAAGAAACTAAGTTTTCCCACTAATTTGATTTTTTAACATTTGTGGAATAAAGAACTCTAGAGATAAACAGATACTTCTCTTTTGGTGCTTGCTACTAGCAATTAATGCCAAGCAGAGTTTGTGTTCTAAAACTTAATTACTAAGAAATAAGAAATAGAGGGTCTGCCCAAAACCACCAATACAAGTTCAGTGCCTGAACATAATATTCTGTTGCCCAGAGCATGCAATATGAAACTACCAATATATAGCAAAATATATTTTGCCTCTTAATTTTAATACAAAACCATATTTTATTGAGATGATGGAGGATGGAGTGTTAATTTCTGTCCCGGTCTCCTACACTTTCTCTCCCACACGCTCAAACACAGATATGTTACCAGAATGAAGATTTCTCTCTCTCAGTACCTTGCCCTAACCAAATTAAATGTAGACATCCAATAGATTCCTCAATGGACTAATCATTCTCTTTACTGCTGATATGTCTCTCTAGTATACTCTCTCCTATGATGTATCTGAGTTCTTACATTTCTTTCTTTGAGTAGAATGACAGGACAAGAGAACCCATCATTAGTAATAAAATCATTTCTCAAATTTTCTAAAGCTAACCCCCCACTATGCTTGCCCATTCAGCAAGTGAAACTGGACATGCCCCCTCTGAAACTCACTGTATGTGATTAAACACTTCCCAGTAGCAGATAGTGTTATTTTTCACACTTGAAATCATCCTTCCTTTTCTCAAAAGTTTTATAGCAAATACAGAAGTCCATGGAAAAAATATCATTCTGACATCTGCTTTAGCACCCACTGTAATGAATTACTCTTCTCAGAACTGTTGTTGCAGGCTCTAAGCAAATTCAGACAGATATTACTGCCTCAATTACATCCATTTCATGTTTCAAGGTTTTCATCACATCCATAAACAGAAACTTAAACTAAAAACAAACAAACAAGCAGCTGAGATTGTAGAGTACAACTCAAAGTACTCTCTCACTTAGGCCTTCAAATATGCATAGGAATTATATCCCTATGAAAAATACTGGACCACCAACATAATTTCCCTATCCCAGCAGTCAGCACCCTTTGGAGGCTGCGGACCACGCTGACCCAGTACAGATCTGAAGCAGGCAGTGCACAGGCTCGAGGACTCAGCTGCCACCATTGTTTTTTCCTGCAGCAGCCCAAGAAGAGCACTCACAGCCAGCACTTCGCTCCAGAGCAGTATGGGGAGAGCTACTGCTGCTGCTGAAGCCCCCTGCTGCCAAATGCTGCTGAAGCCCCACATCTGCAGGCTGGATAAAATGGCTCTGCAGGCCATATCCATCTTGCAGGCTGTAGGCTGCCAACCCTATAATAGACAAACACCATCAGCTATTCTACTTACAAGAATATCCTGTAACATTGTAGTCTGACTGTTAATTCCTTTACTGCACTTTCTTCACCATTTAGACTATAGGCTCTTGTTATGTCCTGCAGTTTGTATACGACGCTCAAGGCGGAAGACTGAGCCTGTTTATGGGCCTGACCTGTTTCTTTCACAGCTGCTCCCACGCAAGATTTTCTGCCTCACTAGGCAGCCATTTCAGGAAAGCACTTAAGTCCATGCCTAAAGCAAGTGGGAGTAGTGGACCCAATGTCAGGGAATGATCTGCCACTCCATCTCAGCTCTCTCAAAGGGCTCCCTCACCAAAACCCAGGAGACCAGAAACCCCACCACAGACAGGAGACAAGAAGTGGAGAGGCAGGCTGGGACTGGGGTCTGGGATCTTGGCTCCAGTGGCATGGAAGAGGATAGCAGAGGGGAAAGAGAGAACTGTGGCAGAACAGCAGGGAAGTGCCCACTTAAAATTTGTCCTGCTCCCCCTGCAGAGGGGAGGAAAGGGGAGAGAAGAATGGAGGATGCTGAAGGGTCCAGGGGTTCCCTGGCACACTCCACACAATGCAAACATGGAACAAGTGAAGCACTTCTAAACATTACCTCATTCAAACAGGGACTGTTTTAGCTATTTTTGGAGCACTTCAGAGGAGATGTACCTCTGTAGATCTCACCCTTTGAAACACTGCAAAGGCATGTGAAACACTTCTATTGTGATATCCACACCCTTTAATCTCTTTATAGCAGATAATTTAGACTCTTTTACAATTGTCAGAGCCAAGTTGGCAACTAGCATACCATCGTAGTTCAATATATTTGCATAAAAATAAAGCTACAGATAGTAAAATATTTACTTATATTTGCCCCTTACATGATAGAGGAATAAATACCACTTATTGTCCAACATTAACAATAAAAGTTGTACCTAATCACTTCTGCCTCATTTTGCAGTTACAAGGTCACTTTATAGGAAGAGATGATAACGTGGCCTATAAATAATCATAAACCAACAGAAAAAGAAAAAATAGTTATTCACAATTAAAAACGTAAAGCAATCTGCTACACTTAAGAGTCTCCATGGGCCAGCCTCCAAATTGTGTCTGTTCTAGAGGCCCAGAATATCTAAATACATGCAAATGCATGCATATATCTGTGTGCCCCTAATGCACAGATGTATAATGCATTTTCACAATCTTATTTCTAACTTTGAAAACCTGGCCTTGCAGGTTCTGTGGGTTGTATTTCGGTACCCAGAGTTTAAAAGGTGCTACATTGTCAACCAAAGTAAAGGATTATCACAATCTCAGATACCTTGATTTTAGTGCCAAGTTTACAGAATCAAGGTGTAGCAAAACCCCCAGTTTTTCTTTTTTAATATATATATATTCCCTTCCCCAATTATTTCTGGCTTTTCTTTCTCTCCCTCTCTATTCCCTATAGACAAGCATAAGCAAGCTCAGACTTAGGATAAGCTTTAACATTTTTATTTTGGTAGCAAGTTTTTGGTTTGAATATCCACTGTTTTATATTGTATTATTATTAGGTTTGTACTGATTCTTACTGTATATTGTATTATTATCATTTTCGTATTTATTTTTATTGTTTCCTATGGATATTGTATGGTTTAGGCCTGTGTTTGTGAATGAACCAAAGTAATGTTAAGTTTCCGTTTTGTATGTCAAGTCTCCATCTTGTGTCCTCTGCCCAGGCATCCCCTGTGTTGCAACTGTATGAGTCACGTACCCCTCCCATGTAAATTCGTTCCTGGATGAATGAGAGTGATTGGGAATGATTGAA